CCTAAACCCTAAAACCTAAACCGTAGCTATCTTAGAGTATATTCTACGCGGTGCAGCTTGCCTTCTTGACCGGCCTTGGCCTCGGCAGGACGCGAGAGCTCAAGGCCGCTGCGGCGGGGAGCCCAGAAGAGCCGCCGTTCTTAGTTTTATCGTATATTATAGATTTTTTATAGCATGTTCTAGTATCTTATAGCTTTTTTATAGCATATTTTAGTATCTTATAGCTTTTTTTATAGCATATTTTAGTATATTATAGTTTTTTATAGCATCTGATAGTATATTATAGCTTTTTTTCAGCATATGATTATAGTTTTATATAGCATATGATAGTATGTTATAGTTTTTTATAGCATATTATTGTATATTATAGTTGTTTATAGCATGTTATAGTATATTATAGCTGTTTATAGCATATTATAGTATATTATAGTTTTTTTATAGCTTATTCTAGTATATTATAGTATATTATTCCGAAGGTACCAGAAGTCGAGGAGCTCGGGCTCCTGTGGCAGCGTTGCGCCGCAGAAGGCAGGGCGTGCCTTGCAAGACTACCACCAATAGGGTTTGGGGTATTATTATAGTATAATTGTAATAAGGAACCCCAAAACCCTATTCTAATTCTTAAGGCCCCCTACTTCAGTCTGCCCCCTGTCTTGCTGAGCGCAGGTGATGATTGCGCCTGTGGCAGTGGCCATGTTCGCTTCGGTGAGGGAAACCGGTGGGTGCGCCACGCCAACAGTCCTGCAGTGCTGTAGCAGTTCAATCGCAGTCGAAGAGGTCGCCCTGCAGCTTGGTGCAAGATCTGCCCCAGTGCCATTTCCCAAGTGCTACCAACCTTTAGCTGGGGAAGTGATATGTACTCATGACAGTTTCTCCGGAACAGGTCATGCAATATCTCGAGCTTCGGAGAGGCACTCGCCGGGCAGTTGGGCACGACTTTACCTGACATGGCATTCGGCATCGCAGTCTTCCCTGAAAGGATCCAGCTTTCAATCGGATGAAGGCATGTGAGCACGGGGGGGGTTGGCGGAGTGGGTGCGCTTGCCTCATCTTGATATGAGTCTTTCGTAGTTGAGCTGCGAAGCTGTCCGTCGGCAAGCTCTCCTTGGCAGGAGTGTTGGTGCGCTGTTCCGGCATCGATCTCAGCTTGAAGTTCATGAGCATTCGTGCGGCGGGTGCAAGGAGGTTGCATCTCAGTGCGCACCCCTGATGTGAATAGCAGAAGCCTGCTGAAATGATGTATCTGGTGTGCATGGGAGGTCCAAAAGCCCAGTTTTCCGGCCTTCTGCCTGGTAGGTGTTCTTCCTGCTAGCATTGAGAACATGCGCTGGAGCATCAGATCTAGATCGTCTCTGATCTGAGGCAAGCGAGAATCTGCAACCTGCCCGTGTTGCCATTGTGAGTCTGACCTGTCTTTCAGAGTCCGTCTTTCAGTTGTACAGCTCCTGGCTTCGAGCCTGAGTTCTAAGCAGGTCATGCTTAGCCGACATCCCCCAGACCTGAACACCTGGATCAGGCGAAGCTGCGTGGTTTCTGCAGACTTAGATAGACTTATTCTCGATGTGACTCCGCTCCGGGACAGGTACCACCTTCATCATGAAGGGGTGGTCTGCTTATTTCTGCAGCTATTGGAACGCATCGCCTCAATCCGACAAGTGAGGTCGAGCACATCTTCGTAAGAGCTGAGGAGCAGACAACACTTACTAGTACTGCATGGGAAGCATCGCATCCCTGAGAGAAGAGCTTGGCAGAAGGATTCGCCGCAGATCTCCGAAAGCGTCCAGCAGCTATCAGCGCAGGACCAGGCGAAGGCGCAAAACTTCCGTCGTGTTGTCTTGCTTCTTGCACATGTTGTTATAGGCTGTGGCTTGACTCAACAACGTAAGGGTAAGCTGCAACACATGGAGGGATGCTTAGGGCTTAGAGCATGAGGAAAGGGTGAGTCAGGTCACGCTGTGGGCAACTCCAAGTCCAAGCTTACGCCTGGATCTCGGGCTGCTTCAATCACGATCAGACTTGCAAAGCAGAGGGTGAATCTGGGGTCACCGATATCTCTTCTGTGAAAGCTTCACATGGCAACTTCTTGACTCTGCAGTTGGCCTATCCTCGACGGACTCGCGCCCTGTGGACGACTACACCACTTTGCAGGTGCCATTGTTTGGAAGCGCTTGTGCAAGATACTGTTGGTGCAGTCGCACTGCTTCGCAAACCAATAGTTTGTTGCTTTTACGCAGTTATTTATGGCAGCAGAAACAGCCTGTAGCGATCCCAATGAAGCACACAGACTGGAAAGAATTGCTGTATCTTCGGTAGCATTCTTAATAGCCATAACAACGACAATCAGCAGAATCAAACACAGAACGCAGCAATTCAAATCTGTATTTGCGACTGCTAGCCGTCATCCCATTCACAAGAGGAGCAGCAATGCCATCACCACCGTGAGACTGGGCGACGACAGAAGAACACGAAGCCCAGTATGATGAACAGCGTCGCCAGACCATGCTCCCAGAATCCGGACCTGGCCATGGGTGCACCGCAAGCCGTAAGCGAAGTAGGGGTGCCCCTTCAGCTTTCAACGGCTGACTCTTCTGCAAGCGACAGCACTGACATGGACCATGACCGCAGCAGAAGTGGCAATAGTGATACTGATACTGACAAGAGCAATCGCACCCGAAAGAACGAAAGTAGCGTCCATGCTAGGCCAGCCAGTTGCCGTATTCCAGGGCATGGTGTCCCTCTCCTCGGACACTAAACCCGAAACCCGAAACCCGAAACCCTAAACCCGAAACCCTCAAACCCGAAACCCTAAACCCTAAAAGCCGCTTTCCGATGTCTCTTTGTGGCTGTGCGAGGCCAGGCAAACGGCCGCCATGGCCAGAGCGAGGGATGCCTGCAATCAGATGGGGATTGAGTGGCGCCCTGGCCGGGTTTAGGGTTTAGGGTTTAGGGTTTAGGGTTTTGAGTGGCGCCCTGGCCTGAACTTCATGATTCGATTAGGGGCTGTTGTGGGTATATTCTGCTTATAACTATGAGTATAACTTGATGGTTTAGGGTTTAGGGTTCAGGGAATAGGGCCTTGTATTTATTTCAGATGGTGCAAAGAAAGCTCTCCGAGAGCGTACCACAAGCAGAAATGAATTCAAGTTGGAACTCAACTACCGCCCAGTATGCACTCACCAATGCTTTGCACAAGTGGAGCAGTAATCTAGGCAGTACGAGTCGGCAGGGGTGGGATGTAACCAGCAAAAGGAAAAGCTGTCCCATCCCCACAACAAAATCAAAGATGGCACATGGACGATGCTTGAGAATGTGCGGCAAACAACGGATGCTTTGTATTCCGTAATCGGCGATCAAAGCACCAAACACTGTATGATCCACATATCGGACCTAAGAGTGCAGGATCTTCCTCATGGGTAACAGATGAGGCAATCCCTACACGGCTAAAGTACCCAGCATGTCTAAACACCTTCATCGAGGTGA